AGAAGGGGCTGGGGCCCAACAGTTAAAGAGGCCCCAGCACCCCATAATATATACGGTATATATATAGATTGTGTGGATATGTGTGGATAAAATTGCTGGTTTTGTTCGGGTCATGTCCCATTTTCTAGGGTACTTTGAAGGTTGGAAGGTTGGAAGGACAGGTCAACCTTCGATGTGGGTTGATGGGGATGTGGGGATGTTGGTTGAATTCAGCCACACCTTCTGATTCCATTCTTATGCCGCACATTGCCGCACCATATGCTTGATTCTGGATACAGAAGGATGTATCCCGGTCGTGAACGGTGCCAGAGTCTAGATCAACAGTTTTTGGGCTTTCATCATGTTATTGCATGTCATTATTTTGGTGGCAGCATTATTTTCAAAACTCGTCTTGCAAACAGTGCTCAAAGTCCAACTGCAGCGATTGGACAGGGCAGGTGGAGGACCTGTCTCCAGGACGACCACGTGTACTCTGATTTGAGGCTCTCTAATTCAGTAGATTTCAAGTGGACTACAACTCCAAATGAGTGTGTGTGTGTGTTTCAATAAGGAGACCCCCAACCAATTCAGTCTTGGTCTATTTCCCTTCTTCCAGGATAGCTTCGGGAGATCTCCCCATATTGTTTTTTTACCACTCCCAAGAGGAGGAACCGTGCAGAGCTCACCAGGTGCGTCTAGCTGTCCATCCTTCAAAAGCCTAGCGTTTGTGGGTCTCCGAGTTGGTTTCAACACTGGCACCCTGTCATGCTCGGCCGTTGTGCGAAACTGCGTGGGGCGCCGAAGACCGCCTGAAGGAAAAATGCGCTGAAAAAAAAAACAAATCCGCCAGACGTCGACGCCTTCTTTGTTGGCGGAGGTGAACTTGTTTGTGATTGCCGCCTGCTTCTCCAAGAACTACCATTCTTTGCATCTTGGAGGACGAAGCCGTCGCAAGGAGTTGTTTGACTCCGTTCGTCCTGGACCGGGACGAGAGTTCAGGACGAGAGGCCGGACTCTGTTTTTGAGCTACTTATATATGGTGCAGTAACTGGTGGTTTAATCAACCAAGCATCCCAAGTCACCGGTTGAATTAGCTGCTTGAAGAGAGCTGTAAAATTGTCAGGGTAGCCGTAGCCCTTTCTTGCATCAACTTAGCTCACAAACACACCCACCCAGGGTGGGTTTTGCCATGCCTTTCCCAGGCTTTAAGTTTTGTTTATCCTGGACCCAAAATTTCTCCAAACATCTTCAAACTGGTTTGCACACTGAGGAGATTTACCTCTGGAGCCGCCTTGCTGTGTTTGCTGCCCTTCGTGTTGTCGCTCTGGTTCAACGCGGCGCGCAGCACTGAGCAGCCCCGTAGCACCAACGAGTCAATCAGTCAAGAGGGCTTCCTACTGGCATCGCCCATTTTGGCATCCTCCTTGGCAGGCCAAAGGGATTTGTGATCCATGGGCGAGTTTCCGATCAATTCGTTGCATCGGAACCCCAAGGTGAATTTCCTTGATTGATGATGCCCCATGTGGATCCATTCGTCGATCCCATGTCTTGGACTACGATCATGTGCAACATCTGTCATGCGTCTAATCCCTTTGCGCAGGATCCCTTATGATCCCTTGCGTAGCGGACTGGTTCATACCTAGGAGCCTTAATCACCCAAACTTACTCCACTTGAACAACGGTCACGTCCCTCGGGGGTACATGCAGCCAGGCTTGATGACATGCAGCCAGGGGACACCAGCCATCCATAGCGGTAACCACTCGGACATCGCGGCATGACATGGACCCCAAAACACCTTCGTTACGATCCTCCGAGTCCTCTGTGCCAGTTACAGATGCTGAACTGGAGCTTTTTTTGGGATGAACACGCATCAATTCCGGCACATGGAGCCAGCTTCTGGTGGTTGATGTCTGTCAAGGACATATCATCTGGTGCCGTGCGACGTGTCGCCAAAAAGGGTCGAAGGCCAGACAAAGAGAAAGGAGAGAGGCAGAGAAGAAGCGACACCGAGAACAAGCATCGGACATTGCATGAAACGAATGCAGCCAGGGGACCCAAAAGGACGCATCTCGGTCGCCCCACGAGGTCGGCCGTTCCGCCTGGGACTGGGGCCGCACGGGCGCTCCGCGGCAGGTGGCCACTTCAGCGTCATTGACATGGCGTCGCAGCTCCAGAGCCGCTACAAGGACCCATGGTGCGACGTCGCGCGCGAGACGACCCGCAGGGCTTCGGATCGGGCGGTTGGACACTACGGTGGGGGGGTTGGAAGGTTTGAAGCCACGAAAATGGAATCTGGAACACAAAGTGGTTAGAAGGTTGGCCTAGTGGTTGGCCTTGAAAGCTATCTAAGGCTTGAGATGGAGGACCTTTTTTTCCATCAGAATTTCATGCTAGGCGTTACCAGGCAACCTTTTGAGACTTCGAGGTTTGAGTGTCAAGACCATCCACAACATGATGAAAGATGTATGAAGAGACAACAACATATATGTTTTTGTTTTTTAGGTCGTCTTCGTTTCGTGTATAGAAAGTGAACCCAAAACCAACCCCATACACAAAAGTCGTCTTGGTTTTCTCATTTTTATAGGCCCTAGGGCTCCAGTCGTACCTCCTCAGAAGGTATGACTGGACCCTCCTGGCACCCACCCCAGTCCCACCTTCTTAGAAGGTACGACACCACATGACTCGTTTGATTGTTGTTCAGAAGATCCATCGACTCCATCGACGGTCTGAGTTGTTTCTCATTTCTATAGGGTTTGAGAAAGCTGTTCATTGCTCCATCCATCTCAACCGATCACGGGTTCCGGGTCACTTGGCCGGAGCTAGCGCCGGTCGTTGGACTGGTCGGCACAGGCGAAAGCAAGATCCACATGCCGACATCCTCCGATAGGGATAGGACATTGGAGTTTTCTTGTTTTTTTCAGGGTGATTTGGATGTTCCCTATTGGTCAAACTTCCTTCGGGGGAGTACTTTTCGACCTTTCTTTCCTGGATTCCTTGAGGACCCAAGACAGGATTGGCTTCAGGATGACATCAATTTGGAAAGCCGTAGAATTGTCTCTGAAAGCATGTCTTTGTGGGTTTTCCCCAGTTAGGGGCCACTTCAGCTATCAACACCACATTCACACCTGGTGTGTGTGTTTTGGATTTTGGTCGGTGTTTTGCCAGGGAAGTGTTGAAACAAGACGGACTTGGCAACAGACCCACGGCATGAGCTCTTCTACCCCGCATGACTCCGCAGTACTCCCGACTCGAGACCTGCACACGGAGTCGGGTCAACCGTGCTTCTGCGACCAAGCACACCCGACGGGACGGAGGAGTCGATCTACGGCGTGATCCACGTGGTCTTCCTGGGCTTGATTCCTTGTTGCTACGTCTCGGTGAGCTGGGCAGGCGTGGTCCTCTTTGGAGCGGACACGCCAGAGGACATCCTAGCGCCTCCGTTAGCGGGGTGGTTTCCAGAGGGGTTGGGCAGCTAAGAGGAGAGGAGAAGAACATGGAACATCCTGGGACCTGGGAGATACCCTTCCTGAAACAATCATGGAAGTGGAAAAACCACCTATTCGTAGAGGAAAACGGTCTTCCAAACTTCCAAGGGGCCAGAATCCACTGCCATGTTTATTGGATGGAGGGTATATATGGGTCGTTCTACTTCCACTTCTTAGTGGAGTCGGCATGTTTTTCATCAAGGAGTCGTGGAGTGACGCTGACACTCCCTGAGATGGTCATGAAAGTGGAACACCAGCTGTGCTGCAAAAGAAACAGGGTCTAAAGCAAGGGCGATGCCATGCCATCCACTTCCATGCTACAGTGGTTTCAGCTGGTCGTGTGGGACGAGTGCAGGGCCGTTCTACCGAGCTGGTGATGTGGAGTTCACCCCCTGTTCGTCAAGGAAGGAAGTCTTTCAAGAAATCGTGCCATCCACTCTTCAGTGGATGTGTTCGTTTGAGTGTAGGTGGCACAAGAGGTTGCATTCATGGAAAAGATCTTGCATGTGGCAATTTGCTACTTGGGGAAGACTGGACACCCCAAAAAGATGGTATTGTAGGAAAGCTACAAGAAGAGTTTTTGTCTTTTTTTCTCTGAGCTGCTTGGTTAACCAAAAATGGACCGAGTGGATGAAATCACCGATCTTGACCATCTCATCTTCCACAACTTTCTGACGGATTTCCTCTGAGTGGTCAACCAGGAGACGAGTTGGTGCCGAGTCCCTGAGGGGTCTTTCCCCGAACAAGGCTCATCCTCGGTCGTTGGGACATCTTTTCGCTGGGTGAGCTGAAGATCTGCTGAGCTGCTTCCACGGTCTTTTAACAAACCAAGAGATATTTGCGCCAAGAGAGATTTGCGCAAGAGGTGAATAGAACAATGTTATACAATGTTCAATTATGTTCATTGGGTTTACCAAGTGGACCCTTGGTGGAAAGACCATATTTTGCCTCCCGAAATCTGGTCCCAGATTTCAGACCCTTCTTTTTTATCGTCGACTGGACTGGGTTTTAAGGAGGTTTTGAACACCCGCTCATGCACCAAGGTAGAGTTCCAGGGCGACTACATGATGGAGGCTTCTGTGGTCGTGAAAGGGAGCTTGTGGGGGGCATGGCAGAGGCGAAGGGGCGAGATGGGTGGAGCTCTGGTTTTTTGGGTCTCAAAAGGGTCAGGTTTTTTGGACGAAAGTCAGCTCTATGAAGATTGTGTGGTCTTTGGGGGGGTGAGTTGAGGCAGACATTTGGTATGGGCAAAGAAGTACGTTGGAGGGCTAGGATGGAATTCGATTCAAAACGGAGAGAAACGTTGATCAACATGAGTTCAATATCTGCCCCTCTAAATTCAGACGCTCCATATGTTATGGACTAGAAATGCATGGTTCCAGCGGAGTATGCCATAGCTATATAAGTATGCCAGTCCCATGGAAATCAATTCTTTTGATCCGACATCGAATTGGACATCAGTGGAGACTTCACATCAGCATTGCCCTGTGCATCGTTCTTTTGTAAGAAGGTGTTATTGTTGGGCTTTGGCAGTCAAGGAATTCATGACTTGCAGAGAGGTTGGTGCGTGCTGATACCAATGAGGTGGCCCGTGGCATTCTGAGCTTTACCAATGCCTTGCGCATGCCTTTGATCCTGATGCCTCTTCATTCGTTGGCTGCTGGGACAAAACATTAATTATATACAGTATATTACAGGGATAAACATATTGCCAATACTTGGAAAGGCATCCTATTGTTGTTGCAAGGTGGCGACATCATGCAACATCAGCACATGGAAATATGGGGAAGAGGCTTCAGTGACTGCCACCGAGGAAGCGCAACTTTTCTGCGCCTCCATAGTTTTGCAGCTTGCAGGTTCCTTCTTCTCCATTCTTTTGCATGTCTTCTTTCAGCAGTCCAGGATCACCAAAATACTCCTTCAGTATGGGCTTCAACCCTTCAACACCTCCCCCCTTACTGAAACGCTTCAAATCACGCCAAAAAGAACCATGCTACCAATGCTTCGTTCGAGTTCGACCGAGGTCTGTGACACCTTTCACCTGCTGTCAAGATCAGCGCATGAGTCAAGCGCTCTACAGGCCTGGCGTTTGGGTGTTGGAATGCCCACACTGCTGCTCTCCTCAGCGGCCTTGGCACAATACCTCAGCAGCCTCTCCAGTCGCGCGGCTGTTCTCCTCGGCTGGGAAAACTGCATTGGTCGTCTGGTGGGTGGGTTTCAAGTGCAACAGTGGAGAGATCCAGAAGTGGATGGTGAACGGGGTTGGGACATGTCGAGGCCATGGTGGAAGTCATTAAAGTGAAGTGCTACTGTCAGAGCTCACACAGGTTTGGGTTGCGACAGCCGAACTACTGGCAAATGTTCACTAAAGATTCTACAAAGAGATCTAATTAAACAACCAGTGGCCTCCATTTTTGCAACCATCCTGAAAACATGTTGGACTCCGCAACCGCCTCTATAACTTATAACATCTTATTAACTTGTAACTAACTGTAACATATACTATAACTAGTGAACATTGCTGGCATTTCGATCATGTTTCTTTTGCCGCGTTTTGCTCCCCGAATTCTGATCCTTGAAGTGATATAGTGACCACAGTGATTCAGTCACCGTAGCCACTGTCCTTCTTGCCCGCCCACGCGGCCAAAGCGGCTCCTCCGTGCACCTTTCTGTCCTGACCCGTGCATGGGGCCTGAGAAACTTCTGATTACCTCGAGCCGCCTGCACTGCGGCAAGAACGTCATGGCTGCCCCAGCTGAAGAATTTGTTGAAGCTGCCACTACCCGTCCTGCGTTTCCAGGTGACGCAGATGATGGGGCGCCTCTCATTGAAACTGGAAACGGTTGGCTGATGATGCTCTGCAAACGCAGCAATGCGATTCTTTACAACCGGGCAAGTGGCTGACCTCATGTGGCATCATGCAAGCCCACCTGCCGAAGCACTTGCTGCAAGATCGGTTCGTCGCACTGCGAAGCTGACTGGGCTCATCGAACCCGTCACACGTGCCATCATGTGCCATGGAGCTTGCGTAGAAGAGCAATATGCAAAAAAAACAATGGCTGTCAGCTTCTCCATCATCCACTAAGCCACCACCCAATCTCTCCAGCTGCCGCAAGCTCTCTGCTAAGTGAGGCAGCATCAGCTTGTGGGCAGGTCATTGAAGTTCAGGCAAGCAAAGAATATGAAAGGGCTTGAAACTGCGCATATCAAAGAAGGTGGCATATGGCAACGGTGTCAAGGACCTGATGCAGAAGCTGTCCAATGTGGCAATGGTGTGGGTGAAGATTTGTAGGACCAGCGCCCGTGAGTGCAGCCCAGCCGTCGCTCAACTTTTCTGTTCCTAATCCTGGCCACGCGTCAACTCAACGAAGCTTTTGGCTGCGCCGGGCTGAGACTCATCACCCAGCTGAGGGTCTATGGTTCGGTTGCCCGGAGACTGTATCAACATGCTACCATCACTGCTACCATCGTTGCGCCCAAGTCCGTGCTTTAAGCTGCCCTTCAGCATCACAGTCATGAAGGTTCAGATTTTGTGTTCACCTGTGTTGTTGACTCCAAATTTGTTTCTCCGCAAGCTGCCACAGCCGCGCCAGCTGCCACAGCCGCGCCAGCTGCCCGGTTTTTTATGTTGAACAACTTCTTCACAAGGGCTTGGTGGAACCCCGCGTTGTTGGAGACATAGTCGTCAATCACTAAAAACTACTTAACCACAAAGGATGCGCTCACTGAGCATGTGTTTGTGGGCGCATCCCGCACGTACTCTGGCACAGACCTTCGCTTGGCTTCAAAGCTCATTGCCTGCGGACGTTGCAGCAATGGAAGTGAAGAAACGTGCCCTTGTAGTGTGACATCTCCGTTCTGCAATAAATTCCAACACTGGCCGGCCTTGTATTTTTCCATTGAGATCGCAGGAAGTGCGCATTTTGAGTGTCCCTTTTGCAGCCGTTTGCAAATGGCTGGCCAAGCAAGTGGCCGCAAGTGACTGCTACTTCTGTCCGGAAAATATCATCATTTCTCCGCACGCAGCTCTGGAGAAAACCAAGATTTCTGCAATGCTGTTCTGCGAAGAAATTCCGGTTTTCTCCAGAGCTGCGCGCGGAGAAATCGTGAAATAATCCAAGACTTTTCCGAGAATAAATACCAAACTTCTGTAGAGCTAGCGACGACGAAATCTAGCAGCTTTTCCATAAAAAACTCAAAGTGCAAGTGTTGAAATTTACTTGCTTGAGTGACATGTGGCTGCAAGTGGCTGCCTGGGCAAGTGGCTGCAAGTTGGCTACAAGTGACTGCAAAACCAAAAATCAAAATGTACGTCATTTGCAACCACACTATTTTGGTATGTTTTCCAGTTCCCATGAGTTACAACTCTATATAAGATACGTCTTCTCGTGTTTTGAAATTTCGGTCCCGCAGCTATTGCCGAGGCATTTTGGGACTTCTCGGTGGCACCTGTGGGGTCGTCGGATGTTTTTGCCCCGCGGCCGCATCTGAAGCCACGACTTTTCGCGGGGAAACACAGCAGCGCGTGCCTGCGAAGGTGGAAGAAGATGGTCTGATCCCGCGAGGGGCAGCGTCGTCCATGTCTGAGGTGTTCATGAATGGTTCATGGGTTTCTTGTTCGGGGTTGGTGGAAGGCATTGGACCTGACGTATGGACATTTGATGTTTCAGGTCTCTGATAGAGCAGCTCGGGGCATGGTGGGACCTTACCAGTGTTGAGTGGAGATTCCTTGGAGGCCATGGGTACCTTATTCTGAATTCATCTCAGCCGTGCGAGGCCCCCCCTCCCCGGACTGGCGGGATGAGTCTGATGGCGGCAGCCTATTTTTTGTTTGGGGGGTCAACTGAGCTGTCCACAGTCCCGGGAGAATCCAAGTGGTTGAGTGTCAGACCTGCTCAGCCGAGGAAAAATGAAAATCCATGGGGTGCATCCCCCCAGCGCGCGCGACGTCGTAGAGATAGATTCGTTCATGATACTTAATACTTGTATAAGACATTTCAATGAACCATATTCAGGTTTTCTTATTGAGTTTGGCCTCAAAACATCGCCAATAACTTCCTCATTTTACCTCACTTGGGAGTCATCATCCGGACTCAAGAAGGGATCGTATGGGGTGAAGGACTCATTTTGTGATCCGTTTTCCTGGATCATCAAACAACATCTAAAGGAACCAGGAATTTAACATGATCCTCAATTATTCTGTTGAATATGTCTGCTGATATTCTAGAGATGAAGACCTTTGAAGATCTCCTTGCTTTAGGATTTTTTAAAGGCAGATCTCCCTGACCAAACCACTACCTGCCCCATCCTCCGAACTCGGACGTCCGCCTGACCTCTTCTTTGGTGATGGAACCTCGGCACTGCGCAGGTGTGCCCGGCGCCATGTATTTGAGGGTGTTTTGGATGGCAGACCAAGTCTTGGGGGACGAGGCAGCTGAATGAACCCCTAGAAGTCCAGTGAAAGACTTTAGAAGTCCATCGCATCTTTCAACTTAAAGGACATTCCGTTTCCGATCATTTAAAGGCGATCTTTTCCAACTAGTCTTGGACTTCCAGGGGGACACTTTCGCGTCGGAGGATGAAGACCCGGATGTTTTTGCTCGTCGAACTGGGATGGGACTTCTGGGACTTCGGGGATGGGTGAGTCGCTGGGTCGGTCCCTCAGAAGATCTCAGGAAGCGCTAACCGTTCAGATGATGTGACCCTTCTCTGTTCGGGGTGGACTGAGTCCGAAGTCATGGGCCCCATGAGTACGTCGACCCGGTAAGTGAGATCCAGGGACCTGAAGTGGCGGTGGCAACTGGGTTTGTACACTCGAATTCCGCCACATCAGACACCACGAGACGATAGACCCGACCCCCACCTGAGGTGTCCTACACCAAGGAAGGGAAGACTACCCCCAATGGCGCAGCTGCAGCAACCTTTGCAATCGTCATTGGCATCGCGGTGGTGATTTCCTGCTGTCTTTCATGGCTTCATTGAATTCAGGATTTTTTCAGGAGGCCAGGCGAGCAGCAACGTTGCACATGGGCTATCCGGCACGCGGGCACAGAGGGCATGACACATCATGAAACTAATATGGTTCTTACCTGCTGATAGACAACCCGCGCCACTAATGGCTTGGAAGATACATGCTCCTTGACAGCAGGGTCATGTCTATCACCTTGGAAGCGAGCTCAGCCGCAGCCCCTGCAAAAATCATCCAAGATCTGCGATTAGGCGAATCTCCCCAGGACGCCTGAAGCACAAGGAAGATCGACAACAATACGAGAGCTTTGGTGGTTCCTTGGTTTCGAAGTTGATCAAACCTCCCATAGAAGGGCTATGAAGGGGCCATCTCTTTGAGCAACCCATCTGGGATGACGGATCCAGGCAACCGAAACGTCCAGGCGCTCAGGGCGCGGCAAGACTTACTGATGGGCGCCGCGAATCGGTGATGGGCGCAGGCGAGAATCATTCGCCAACGTTTGGCTGTGGTGAAAGGTGTTGCGATTCCTGTTGATCAAATGCCAGGAGATCCGACTTCATGGCGCCAAAACAAACATCACACAAGAATCTAGCTTCACCCGAAACCAGTCTCGAGCCGGTCGGAAGCCACAGCCAAGTCTAGATCTCTATAGCATCAGGTGTGAATGTGTTACGACCCGGCCGAAGCTTCCGAAGGAATACTGGACCGGCCGGAGGGCGCACTTGGATCGAAAGTCCAAAAAGACGTCGAGTCCTTGCCTCGTTGGAGAAACGTGCAGTCCTTCCCCTAAAGCAGAACATAAAGGTGTGACGTGCTACAGTTTCTAAACCCTTTCTTTAACACAAATGGATTTACTATATTATGTTGTATTACATTGAATATATTAGAAATTAATACAAATTATAGAACGTAACATCTTCACTTCTACGTCGTTGTAGCTGGAACCTGGACTTTCAGCCTTCAGTCGTTTTGTGTTTGCTCCGGGTTGACAGTTTCGTGCGTCAAGACGTCTGGCAGCCCTCTCAGCCAGTTCATCGGTCCGCCAGTCGTCCACCGGACGTGACGGCCGGGTTGGGTGGGTTCAAAGAATGTGCTATAGGACTTCTGGCCCACCATGGATTTTAATGGGTTGAATGATCCGAGCAACCATTGGTTTACTGTTACTACTAAGGTTGTTAGACTACAAGACTCTCCAGCTGCCCAGCTGCCCAGCTCAACCATCCGATGATGCCAACCGGGTGTGGTGCCATGTGGTGCCAGCAGCCTGTCCAAGGCAGAGAATACATGCCTGTCCAAGGCTTTCCACGAATGGCAGGTTTGCGAACCAACAACCAGGTTACTCTTCCAATCTGTAAAACCAGGGTTTTAGGGTGGTGTGATACGACCGAAAAGGCCCATTGGCAAGTGGAAAAGCATTTGCAGGTCTTTCTTTTCCCTGTCATCAAGACACTGGTGACGCCCCTCACAAAGCTATACACGGCAGCCTGGTCTAGAGATGCCCCACACCGGAGCTGCAACTGGAGAAGAGCAGACCGTGCTGCTCAGTGGTGCTCCGCTCGATCTGTCTCGCTCCTTCCCCGTGGCCCCTGGCTTTTCAGAGTGGAGACGTCTCGGGGATCTGCGGCGTCTCGGGGATCCACTGATGACGACGGAGAGACTGCCAGCCGAGGCGCCGGCGCGGTGCACGCGTGACACGCGCCATGTACGGTGTCGACGTCGGTCCGCGGCGGCGTCGAAGCGAATCGGAGCTGGGCGGCGAGTGAGCTTGGCCGGTCCCCACAGTGGTTGGCGTGGCGGGTGCGGTGAATTCTGTTGCAGTGAATGTCGCTGCTTGCGGTGAATTATTTTGTATTTTTGTGAACGTTCCGGTCATTAATGGTTGAACATCTCAATAGGAAGAGAATCTGCTAGAACGGTGGAGCTACGTTCTTTGGAGAGTCTCTTCGGGGTTAGATGAAAAGGAGTTCATGGCCCAAACATTGACGAACCAGCATCAAAGGCTTGGGCGAGGTTGATGAAACGGCGCTCGCTAAAAACAGTAAAAGACCCACTCTGTGTGCCAGTTGCTGGACAGCACCCTCATCACTTGTGATTATATATACTCAGTTTTTTTTTTGGGAAGCATGTGATATGATTCCCCAATATATGAAGCAGAGAATTTGCAATTGGAAGAATTCTATTTGGACCATTGACCATCCAGTCTTTTTGTGTCGCTGGACTACACTACTCTCCGAGATGTCCAGAGGGGCCGAACTCAGGTGACACAACTGAGACGAGGCAGCGGATCAGTAACCAGGTTAGGCCGATCCTTGGTGTTTCCTTGTTTTTTTAAACCTTCGGTGTGGAAGAAAGGTCAGTTTTAATGCATCAGCAGCTTCCTTCTGGTGAGATCTGGTGAGACCTTGGCACAACAGTGGAATGGCCACGCGGAAACCTGAGAACATGTCGAGTCTAGCTTTCCTCGTTCAATTCTTGGAGTCATATAGACCACTTGTTTTCACAGAGTGCCCTTTGATCACCGACCGCACTGCTTGGCTTTGGTTTCTTTTCGTTGGGGGCGTCTTCTGATCACGTGTGAGCGTCCGTGAGGTTGCTTCGCGATTCGGGCGTGTCTTCTGCTGTCGTCTAGCCGTCCGAACCGGGGTGCCGCCGCGCGACGTTGGCAGACTCGTGCCTGGTTGGCGAGTACAGCAGTGAGCCTCTCATTTTGGCTTGGAGGCGTGACACTGGTGGCCATCAAATGCCGGGAGCCTGAGATGACAGCGGCGGTTTGGACTGCTCTTAATACAAGCATTACCCGTTTAGCTTCCTGGCCCATTGATTTAATGGTCTGAATCCGGAACAACCAGCTGTTTGACTCATGATGTTACACCAATTACACAACCAGCTCCTTCCCATTTTGACACATGGCCGAAGTCGATGCCAGTCGATTCTCGATGTTTTTCGCTCCAATCAGTCGGCCAAGTGCAACCACATTCATTTGTCTCGACCCCTCGGCACTTGACAACGTCATTGTCCACGTCTCTGACACCCGCCTACCACATTCCAAAACGACGGGGCCGACGGGTCAGTCGAGTATTTTACATGTATTATTGTTTCTACAAGCTTCTTGTTACTACTAGTAAGGCACTTGTTACTAGATGCACTTGTTCCTAGTAGCGTATTTTGATGCATTCTCCCAATGATTCGAACAAACACATACCAGTACGGCCATTAGATGACATAGCTGGGACGTAGCTGGCCATTCATGCCACGGGATGAGAGAATTGGGGCCAAAACTTTCTCAGGCTTAGCTTATTTCATCTCCGGCAGTGAGCTGATCAAAGCCTCCATCTTCGAGTCCTTGGGCGATGTGATGAGCTCCGCGATTCTGGCGGTGACGCAGATGCTCGGAGATGCTCTGGGCCGTGTGGGGCGATGTTTTTCACAGGAGATCCACAGAGGCGACAAGTGGATCCTGGCTTTTAGGAGAATCTCCACCTGGCTTTTCTCATGGAAGACCCGAAGGACCTTCAAGATCGAAGTGTAGAAGACTTGATTAATTGAGGCAGCTAGGGGTTCGTAATGCATGTGTATGGCACTGTTGGGAATCCGGATGTCGAGAAACCCGGTGTTCTGAGAGGTAGAACTAGATCCTTTGAAGGACCTCCGGAAGGTTGGTGAATCCTCAAAAAGAAAACACATCCCCTGAAAAGATACCTCAGCAGGTCATTCTGTCAATGCCTCTGGTCTCTTCATCCTCAGACCATCCCAGCTGCTGGGCCGTCTGACCTGAAAACCTCCAGACCTTCAAGGATCGGTGGATGCGTCCGGGGGATGTTTGATACTTGTTTACTCCCCCGCAAAGTAACATAGAACCAGAGAATTGACCTGTGGTTTCAACCATTTTCCGAATACCAACCCAGTGGGTTTGGGGTTCCATGTTAATCTGCAGGGGAGTAAACATGTTTGCAAAAGAAGAACAAATGCGAGTTGGCTGTGGAGGAATCCTCATGGATCACCATTTTGGATCTTTGGGATCTTTTAGTCATGTGGAGGCTTGAAACAAAAGGCTCGGCTTGTTGAACGGGCAACGCGAAAAAGAAAGGCCACAATTGTGGTGGCCACTTGATTTGGTGCCCTGTTGAAACATGTGCCAGATGATCTAGTAAGCCCGGTTTGTGTCAAGAAGATTCTTGACAAAGCTGGACAGTTGGAACACCTTAGTCAATTCATATCAATTCCACCACTTGGATGATGGAATTGATTCCCATGATTCGCCAATGAAGACGTGGAAGAGGTTGAGGAGGTTTTGGGTCCCTTTTGTCGTATGAGGCTTGGGCAACAATCCCTCGGTCTAAGCTGAGGTTCTCGAAAACAGGGGAAGCTCATCTCCAAACCTGCGAGACTGGCTGTAAGATTCCCGGGTGCCCTCTAAAGTATTGACTGTTTCACCTCTCAAGTCTGAACTGAACAACAACATGTTCTTTGGACAAAGTATTTTTACGCAATTTGGAATATTTTTTGCTTTTTAGATTAAGCCACATCGCATCTCTGTACTTGTGGCTCGCTGAAGAAAAACACGGTTTTGCTCCTCGAACGACAAACCTAGCCGCCCGAGGATGAAGGTTCGTGACAATCGAGACATGCACCTCTACCCTCGCGGGAAAAAGCGTTTTACGCGTCTTGGCCTGGTTTGGAAGCTGAAACACCTGTTTTGAGGGTCTTTGACTGGTGCCTTCTCATTTGTGAAAAAAGCAGGACTTGCTCCGTTTTGCTCCATGTCTCTAATTCTGGATTTGGCTATCCAAAAGCCTTACTCAACTCGGCCTTGGTCGGTGGGTGCCCCTAGCGCTGCTAAAGAAAGAGCCTGCTGCTGACCCGTTCCGTTCAGGATGATCCCATCGTTGGATCCGGTCTGCTGCTTGTACCCGCTTGAAAGAAGCTGTGAGTGGGTTGTATCGCTGGGACCTTCTGAGCCTCATGATTGATGAGAATTGTTCACCTATTAGCATTATCCAGCTCAGCCACTTGTTTTGCAAAAGTACTGTTGGTTTTACTCGTCATCCGGATGTACAGTATATATATATATAGATCGAACAAGCGCGGCATGCCAAAAGAGGTCTGCCCATTGTCAATGTCTACTTCAGGACGATTATGCTGCGGTTCTGGTCGAAGATCAGTGCATATTATTCCACTGTACTGTGAGACTTTCATGGCAAGATCCCAAATTCTAATTCATGACTTCAACTTTTCCGTCCTGTTCTGGTCGTAGCCAGAACACGAGCCGTGTGTGCGCGGGTGTGTGTGTTTTTTCCAAGGCCCTTAGGCATTTTGTTCTTCTCTGCCTTCGCAGTGTCCACAATGATCGGCCTTCTCATCGAGAATTTGGAGAAGCTCTTCGGGCATCTTGGATGGACTGTTCAGATACGAGATGTGATCGGATGAAACCTGGAAATTCCGAGGTGTGGAAGATCGGCGATGGAGGGCACCATAGAAGATAGCACCATCAAAAGCACCCCTGTAATCTTAAGGAGTGATTTGATGTTGTTTGTAGAGGATGGATGGATCAATGCCCCATATCATCATAGCTTGGTACACTTGGCTCGATTGGAACTCATTCTCTTAATAGATCGAACTTTGAATTCCGTGAACAAGGTGTCCATTCTCTGAGGTTGATGACCATTCTCTGCGTTCAGTTTGTCACTAGTTGAGTTTCCAAGTCAGATCAAAACCATGGGATGTGCAAAGAAACCTCATGGGATACCGCAGTTTGCTGCTGCACCGTTTTGCAGAGTTTGCTGCTGCACCGGGCAACCCGCAGTTGGTGTTTGTCCTTCAAACGCGCAGTCTGCTGGGAAAAGGAGCTTTTCCACGCGTCTCGCCTTGGAACCAGACCGAGCATCCAAGCCCTATGTTATCCACATAGGACAGGTCTGTCCGAACTTACCTGTAAGAGTCAGAAAACAAGCAACATCTCTATTTTTGAACAAGGCCTACAACCTAACCATCATCATCCACTGTTATTGGTAATGGGATGGACCCAATCCGCATATATATATATATGTACCCTTTGAGAAGGTGTTCAACACTTCTACATAGGCATGGAGGATCCAAGTCCCTTCCGAGAAGGTGGCAGTGGATTTTTCCAGGGAAGCGCAGCGAAGCCACAGGGAAGGAGTCACGGACTCAAGGACTCACGGAATCTCGGAAGGAGTCTGAATCTGAACACATCGAGGAGCTGGCAGCTATGAAACCCCTTCATTGCCCTCTTTCCCTCTCCCAGACACTCACTCCATGGGTGCCTAATAGGACTGCCGATCAATTGGTGTCGTTGTTTCAATGTAGGTCAATATTCCACACGTGAAGTGTCTGGGTCTTCTTATCACAGGCGAGTTCCTCGCCCGGAGCATCCACCCCGCCCCGCCCCTCGCCCTTCGATCGATCCGGCTCAGGTCCTCCGACGAGGAGGACCGGTGCGTCGCCGGTGTGGCGCTGGCCGCAGCAGTCACGGGTCGGTGGAGGATGTGGAGGTTTGAACCATGGGGTCATGGGTTGAGGCGGCACACAAAGAAACATGCGGATTCTGGGTTTTTGGACCAGACTGCGAGGGATAAAGCATGCAACAGCTATATGGCTCAAAGCTCCCACCTTCTTCGTCTCCTTTGTCCCACCTTCTTCGTCTCTTCCCATAGCGCTAGAGCTCAGCTCGACACCACTTTCTTGGGGCGGACGGCCCCACTCTTGGTGCATCGTTCTCACATGACTTCGTACCCAGACACGACTAATGGGACTGGAAGACATGCCGCCCCATTGGCCCCCGCAACCACCCCCGATCGGCAGTCCGCCAGTCCCATGGAGTCTGTGGGGGGCCGGGCCACCCATGGATCGACAGTTCGACAGTTTGGTGGCCATATACGCTGAGAATGGGACCAGGCAAGAATGTCCTCTGGAGACCCGTGTTTTTCAATGGTTTTCAGGGTCATGTGCGTTTTCCAGGGGGTAGCTCGTTTTTCACCCATCAGAACATGTTATATACAATTTTACATGCAAGCAGCAAGCAGTTTCCTCTACCAGTGTCAAGATTGATACGCAGAATTCCACTAACCCTACGTATACAGTATGCCCAGTCTGGTGCAGGATGTTGTCCATCCACAGTCTGTCTCAGCCAGTCTGTCTGCCAGGAGCGGCGGGATCTGCTTAGAAGAGTCTTCGAGGAGCAGCCAAGGCTAGTTCCGGGCTGTTCCGGGCCTTGGGCTCTGAGCTTAGGAGGCTTCATGTGATCTCTCCCCCAAAAAGGAGGCCAATGGTCTTCCAGGGGCCGGGCCTACGTTCCACTTCCATGGTTCTTTCAGCGGGTGTATAGATGAACATCATGTTGGGATATTTTTGGTGTGTTTGGTTTGGAGCTTCTGAGAGCCACTACGTTCCTGGAGGGCAAGGATTCGACGACTAAAGCTCTTTGATTTTGTTGTCGCAGAGTATAAGACCTTCTGGTAATGAAACTTGCCACTGGCGCTGCCCTTGCATAGGTTACGTAATAGACGCTGATAAGATTTCCCTCAAACATCCTTCAATTCCAACGCCTGGCTGTTGCATAGTTCAATGCTTGAGGTGGTTTCCCCCCCAACAGCAACATCCTGATGCCTGCAACTTTAAGCAACGTAGCAACTGGCTTGCCCTTGCATAAGTTCAATGGAGGTTCTTGTGTTTGCTGCCGCCATTTGTATAGCCAACTCTGATGGAACCCATCTGGCTGGCGGCCATATATAGCCGCCATTTGTTTTGCCAGCATCGGTATACCGTCTTAATATACGTGAAAAGGCATGGATTTTTCGGTTGGACATTTCGGTCGCAATTGCTGCTGTACACACCCATTGTTCTGCAAACAAGGTATCTAAAAATAAGTGAAAACAAATCGAATTAGAATGTTATTGTTTTCAGACTAGGCTCCATTTTGAAAAAGCCTTTTAAAAGATGCTTACAGAAGTTACTAAATACCACAACAACTTTTATATTATACCTTATAAGTACAACAACTCACTCTAAACAACTTAGCTTTGTTAGTGTTGTTTTATATTTATAAGCCGGCCGGTTATATCAGATGTTATAAGTATCTCTCGCTTCCCTGGTTTGGACATTAAGAAGAACTTGATTGGCGACGACGATTCTCTCATCCGGCGTCGAAACAGTCGGCCGGAGTGGCCCAGCTCCCCGCAGCGCGACGTTTCCTGCCATCCTGACGCTTGATTTGAGCGGGATGCGTAGATTTCATGCTGTTCCGACGTGTTCCGACGTGTTCCGGCCTCACACCATCTGAATATGTGAGACATGCGAGAGGGACATGTTTTACCATGCTAAATCATCGCGCGTCGCACAGCCCGTCATCCCCTCTTCGCGCATCGCACCGACATGCACAAATTCGGTCCCGGACGCACTTGGTGGTTGGCTTTTTCTTAGGGAAAACATACAGACTTGTAATATAGCCGGCTTATAACCGGCTTATAGTTCTCTAAAAGAACACTAACAAAGCTAAGTTGTTTAGAGGGAGTTGCTGTACTAATGAGTATATGTAAAAGGTTGTGGTATTTTGTAACTTTTGTAAGTATGATTTAAAGAGCTTTTAAGCGTTGAGCCCAGAGAACTTATAAATTACTTATGGAAGCTAACTTTTTGTGACTGAAAGCAGTAGATTTTCTATTTTTGGAACTTGTGTCCAGAGACTTGTTTTGCAGAACACTGGTTTTGTTGACAGCAGCAATTGCGACCAAACTTTTCAATCAACAAGTCGTTTCCTTTGCACGTAAAGATGGTATACCGATGCCTGGCTATATTTGGGCCGCCAGCCAGATGGATTCCACCAGAGCTGGCTATGCAGATGGCGGCTCTTTGAGCCGCCAGCCAGCTTGATGATGGATACATTTAGATTATATATGTATATACAGTTTATTCATGCGTTCTTTGCATTCATCACTATAGCTTCAACATTGTTTGCTTTCTTGAAGGGCGGCTCAATGAGCCGCCATCGTGGCAACATGTTGTGCATATAGAATGTAAAAATGATGTATAACTATGTAAGAACGTATAAACATATACATGTATCAAATGAACAAAGGCAAATTTATACATGTACACATTGAAAGACTCAATTTATACATGAATAAATGATGTACAACATGTATAAATAGTGCGAAACATGTATGACAAACATGATTTTGCACATCTCTCCAAGGTCTGGGTCTATTTTCGTCAATGAGTTGCATCAAATCACTTTTCCATTTAGCTTTTGCTGTGTCCTTTTCACCTCCGTTCGGTGTTGCGGTGCAATCTCTGGCGGAGGACATGTGATCTATGGGTTTTGCTGTTCCAGGCGGCTCATTGAGCCGCCAAAGATCGCAAACACATGCTTCCATCCTTTGTATTTATAGGCGACCAGAAAGTGTCAATTGAAGACAAGAAACACACCATACCTTTTGCGTGAGACCTTTGCTTTGGGGCGCACAAACTAACACACATAGATTTTTCATGCATCGAACAATGCCAAATGTGGAGTTTGGAAAAGGTCTCAGGAACTTACAAAACTTATAAGTTAAACTTAGCTAAGTAATGAACTAATACAAAAAACATTGGCTTTATAACTTCTATACCCTAATTCATTAAGTGCCTATAAGCTTTCTAAACGCTATCTAGCAATCAAACGTAAACCATGAACAACGTGAGTTAGGCAGTAGCCAACAGGAATACAAGTACAAATACAAAAACATCCACAAACCACGCCCAAGGGCTGTTCTAAGTGGATACATTTTTTCATGCTCAGGTCTTCAGCCTCAGGATGCTTTAAACTTTCTGTTCAATATTATACACTTGTGGCTTTTCAAGCCACTGGTCAAATATGGGAATAGCGGGTAAACCACCTATGATTGATCTATGCAAGGGCAATTTCTTGCTTTACACCACTACAGTGCCACTACCTTGAACCATTGATATCATTGATATTCCTCAACAATTACACACAGCAATCCACAAGCCCCTAGTTTCAGAGAGGAAGAAAGGCCAATTCCCACGAAAAACGACACTCTTTCACTCTTTCACTGCAATCTGAATCGGCGTTTTGCGGCCTACACCGTCATGTCGAGGGCGCACCAAGGATCGTTCACGGCCCTCGGGAACGTGTTCGGGAACGAACAACGACGCACGAACAACGTCCTTCCGAAGAGGTCCACTTTAGTCCTTCCGAACGGATGGTGGTTTCCGGAAAAGGACCCATCTCCAGGTCTCGAAAACCACGGCAGGTTGCGGGGCGGCCTGGCGGATGACCAGCTGGAGAAGCTCATCTCCAGCTATGGCGAAGAGGTGACGATGCGCCAAACGACGTGCCTGCGCTCGGTGTTGAAGGGGTCTTTGATGTTCAGGAAAAGACCTGCAGTGTTCCAAAAAGCACTGGACTTAACGGGTTTTTGGCAAAAACTCGTGTGTTACTGAGGATTGAGACTACAAAACTGGGTCAAGCATTTTTTGTCTTGGAAGGCCAGGGAAGACAGGCAGTTCTTGGCTTCAAATTCTTGAGTCAAGAGCGTTGGATGGAACTCTTGGTCATTCTGTCTATACACAGGCGCTCAGTTTTTCCAGAACCTGCTTGTAAGCGCAGGAGTCTGGAGGCATGGAGGGGCCATTGGTATGCCTCCTTCTCGCCTGCATCATCATCAAGAGTGGCCTTTTGGCCTTCTGCCTCTATGCAGCCAGGCCAGGCGCGTGTCGGTTTGCAGCAGGCCCATTTCACTGCGAGGCTTGGAAGAGCATCAGGCTCCCGCGCGCGAGGAAAAAACAACCCAATTATTTGAACATGGCACGCTATGTGGCAGATGAGTCCGTTGAAACATGCAAACCTGTCCACTTCTTTACAGAGCCCAGCAAACAGTGATACATCCTGGATGTTTGGTCGTTCCGGACGTATTCCTTCAACCATAAAATAGAGCATGCCTTTTGGTTGGCGATGGTGATCCAGGAAAGACGCGCCGCGCAAGTTACGCCTGCTGGACAGCGCGGGGGATTCGAGAGCTGTTGGGTGGCTGGTTGGAGT